CCCCAAAACCCCAAAACCCCAAAACCCCTACAACATATATTATTATTGAAATAAAATGAGCAACAGTAAGACATCACTTAATTCTTAGTCAAGCCCAATGTTGAAATAGACAAGCTAAACTGGGACACTGCAGAAACAGAGGTCCGGAGAATAGTCTACGATCTCATAACTCCAGTTGCCAAACAACGTATTCCTCCCTTTCATCATCTAGTAACTCAACAAGAGATCTCCCTCAGAGAATTTAGAGATGTGTTCAAAGAGAACAACCAGCGTCTTAAAGAACTAGAAACCGCCGTACTAGAAGCTGATAAAAAGGAGACAATGTTTGATAAAATGGATCAAAAGATCGAAGGTATGACTCTTCTAACACTTTATGTTACAATAAAACTTATTTAATACCTGGATAACATTTTATACAGCTGTAAAAATAATGATCCACGAGAGCAACCAAAATTCTGACCGAAAGATTAACACCCAAAACGAGTCCTTCAATGATATAGTTTTCAGAGTGAGAAATGCCATGGGGGAATTCAAGACTATTAAAGAGCAATCAGAGATTCTCATGAAGCAATTTCTTAAATATCAGGAGGAAAATATAAAATCTAAGAAGGAAATCATTACTAATTTTGATAAACAAGTAGAGAAGCAAGCCCAGGATTATATAAAGTTCAACGAGAGACAAACCAAGCTTGAGAAAGCCCTAGATCAGCGACTAATTCAACTGGATTCCTGTCTGGTCAAGATCGCTCAAGAGGAAGCCCTCAGTGAAGAATTTAAGAAAGAGCTTAATGAGCTGAACGAATACTGCTTCCAGTTAGAGAATGACAAACTTGACAAAGTTACCCATGAAGAGAGGGTAATCGATATGTATGCTGAAATCCGAAAGCTAAGAATAGAGGTACAACAAGCCAACTCAGATGTAATCACACTTGAAAATTTCTGTGAGAAATATGTCCCTCTTCAGACACAGAACTTAATCTCCAAAACACTTCACGGATTCTTAAATGAGATACAGAAGTCGAGGCTTGAAGATTTTGAGGTTGGCATCTTTGCAAAAATGCATGACAATGTCCTTGACGATGACGGTGAGCCTAATCTCGACAAAGAGAAAGAGACAATCATCAGTGAGGTCAACATAAAATTAGAGGAGTTAAAATAAACTATACCAAGAAAGACACCTTGAGGCTAACTTTGGTGGTAACTATGACACAGACAGCGATGACCCTAACAAAAAGAAGGAAGAGAAAGACATTGTTGAGGTGTTCAAGGAGCAAATTCAAGCACTTCAGGAACAGCTGGATGAAATACCTCAAAAACTTAGAAATCTAGGAGATCAGTTGGACGATGGAATTAAGAACTCTAATATTATGACAGAGAAAAGACTCACGATCCTTGATCACCAAGTCAATGATGTTAGTGAAGAACTTGAAAAACATAAGGAAGTTCTATTTAATGATAAGAAGGAAATGATCAAAAGAGTTAAGGAAAACACAAAATTAATGAAGGTATTCCAAGAAGACTATATTCCAAAATCTGAAATGATAAGGTCTCTCTCAGGTACTACAGCCTGTATTCTGGAAGCATTATGTATCAAAGCATGCAGAGGTAAGCCTTGGTTTGAGTAATACTAATAGACTCTGCTAAAGAAGAGCTTGAGCTTGAAATTGAGAAGATCAAGACAGAAAATTTACTCATTGAAAACTCTTTCCCTCTATTGAAAAGAGATCCGACTGCATTGACCATTCCAACTTTGAGCACTGATGTAGGTTAAATTGGCTTATCAATATAGAGTAAGAGCAAAGGCTTCCAAGACATTTATCTTTACAGAGATATACCTATTCATATCAGTCAGGATAGGAATGACGAGAAGGATATCATTAATGTCTACTACAAACTGCTCAGCACTGCAAGTAGCATCTATAGCAAAAATATTAACTTCAAAAAGGCAGGATATGAACTTCAAGCTGTATTCAGCAGAGCCCTAAACAAAAAGATTTTCCAACCAAAAAGAGTTAAGCAAGTTTCAAAATCAGAGCTCAAATCTCAGAACTCTCATACCAGCTTGTTTAGGTCTCAGGCTAACTCCCAAAGGTACAGCAAGATTGAGATAAGCACGAGAAAATTGAGCTTAAAGAGAAAATTTAACCACTCAACTATCAAAAACTCAACTCCTCTTAAAATCAACAAGACGTTTGAGAAATGTAGAGTTTTTATTGAGCCTAACCCTCTAGCCAAGAAAAGTTTAAAAGCCAACCTAGATCTATCAGCAGATATGCAGCTAGATTCTATCAAAAATGAGAGGTAGAGCTCTTGGTTAAGATATAGTCTGATGATTTCCTCCAAGAAGGTAAACAAGGAGAGTAGTCCTCTTCTAAAGAACCAGAAGCTCAGCATTCTCCCTGATATTGGCAAGAAGTATCCCAAAAATCCACTTGATTAAGTTTCAATGCTAAGATCTATGAAAGGGGTTTTGGGGTTTTGGGGTTTTGGGGTTTTGGGG